AGCAAAACTGCATGGCAAAAGCATATATATATATCCCTATCGAAATCAGATAAATCATTTCTTTTTATCCTCAAATAACTATATACCCTTCTAGTGAATTGCAATTAATCAAATGCCCTTCTTTTGTAGTTTTAACAAGGAAGAAAGATAAAATAATTCATAATTTATGTAAATATTGAAGTTTTGCTGTCTTTATGAATTATTTTGTTTCAGAGAAGGCAATCATATTTTGCGTTACACGAAAAGGGAAATCACGAAAATGCCTTTCAGATTGCTTGACGTTTAAAGAATTCCAGCTAAATACTCAGTAATCGCAATGAATTTTTATTTTATGTTATATAATGAATCATTTTCTTAGCATCCTTGTCAGACAACCAATCATGTTTGTGATATGACGAAATGCTCTTATTTTTGTAATTTGTCCGAAAATAATCGGTTTTATTTCAAAAGCGCATAAAAATATATATTGTCATTAAGCAAACAAACAAAAAATGTGTGAAAATATAAATAAAACTGTAACAGTGAAAAAGTAGTTAAAAAATGTGACTAAGAGCACTGCAAAAAAATTTCAGTTTACCTCAATATCAAAAATAGTGTCAACTATACAGCAAAATTTTTTACAACGTGGATTTCGTAATCTGTTTTTTTTTAAAGCTAAATGTCGTCTAAAGATATTGATATCACTTGTTTAATAATCAAGAAACTGCTTTACGGCTTTATATCCTGCTGAAAAGCAAAAGCATCGTGAATGTTGCGTAGAATACTTGATTTTGTATGCTTTTGATAAAAATTAAAAAAAAAAAAAGAATATCAGTGAATTGGATGAATTGAAATTTATTAAGATATTATTTCAAAATTATTTTTTAAATTAAAAGTTAAAAAAGTTGCAGTTAAAATTAATAAAATACTAAAAATCATTTTTAAAATTAGAAGCTTTTTTCTTAAACGGTGGAAAACGATAAAAAATAACGATAAAAAAAGCATTTCTAAAAAAAAAAACAGGACTTGGGGCCCATAAAGTTTTCGATACGGCCAATGACTGTATGTATAACAGCTTTTTTATGAAAGTGTCATTCATATTTATTGCAGGTTTTATGGATCTGAGGAAATGAAGCTTATCCAAGCATTTTTCATATATTTTCATGTCAGTAAACAAAAACGACAAAAACCTTATCACATCTCATTTCTCTTTTGTAAAAATAAAAGTTCTTGCTTTAAGTATATTGGATAAAGAATTGGAAAGAATTTTTTTGAATTTTCGATAATATTAATTTATTTTCTAATTTTGCATCAGTATTGAAATAAATGTTAAATAAGCAAAATATTGAATTTTACTTTATTTTAGACTTTTCTTACATGTTTTTGAAGTTTTCGTGTCATACATGATTTATTTATAGTCTGAAAATTTTTATGTATTGTTGAAGTTTTAGTTCCAAATATTCTACATTTATTATAAATTACGCACTGGCTATAACCAGATATAGACTGTTAGAAATTAATAGCTATAATAGTTAAGAAAAAGTCAAATATCAATTAATTTAATTGTTGTTTTACCATATTCAAGCAAAGCAGTCAAAGAACCATAAATGAGATGGTATTCAAACTGTTAACTATGAGAAAAACCTTTATTAACTGCCTTCACCTATTACGGTTAAGCAACCAGAATTACATCGCAACAACTAGGCCCACCTAATAAAGCAACATAGTTTATTCAGACCGGTAGATACTGTAGCTGAGAGGACTGCTCTGTCAAACTCATTTCTGATAGAATCTAGATCGAGTCCAAGCGTTGACACTATAATATTTCCTCCATATCCTTTAACACATGAAGAGCATCCCCAAATTGTGATTCTGAGCAAAATAGAATATAATACTTTCACTCACTCATAGATGGCAGCACCATAAAACTGTTTAATGCTAGTTATAAATAGTTGAAAAACTGTGCAGTTTTGTATTCATGGTTTTTAACAGTCCTAGTTGTATACGGTTTCAAAATCGTAAAGGCAAAAAGCGTTATACACCGTAAAGTTTACGGTAAATTGGATAGACAGATTGTTGCTTGCTCTTTTCCCGTAATTTTAGAATGAAAATTCTAATAGTGGACTGTTTTGCTATATGAGTTGTAGAAAACTAAAATCTAAATTTGTTGTAAATAACATCATTTTGAAAAAGGGATACATTGCAAATATATTTATACATTGCAAAATAATTTTAAATATATATATATATATATATATTTAAAAATGGTTAATTCAAAAACGGATGTAACTGTCATAACTGTAAACGAACTGTTATTTAAAAACGGACACCTGTTATTTTAAGCTGATAAGTTTTGTTATAAGTATTGCTGTTGTCAAACTAACTTCGCTATTTTAATTAACTCAGTTATTTTATCCCAAAATTTATTTCACAAAAATATTTTAACAATGAACCGTGTTATTTAAACAACAATCTCTGTTATTTGAATAAAAAAAACGTCAGAATTGTTGCCGGAGAGAGAGAAAATCAGAACTCTAGTCAACGCCAGGATTTGAACTTGGGACTCCTGCTTTCGAGGTGAGCACGACAACCCTTAAGCCATGGCACCTCTAGAGTTTCACCATGAAGAAAAATCTTAAACTGTTTTATCTTTTGAGATAAACTTATTGAAATAAGCGTAAAAACGTTTAAGATTGTAGTTGCCCATCTTTCTAAGATGTCTGGGGATTCATCTTACCCAAAAATTATAACTAAAGACAGGTAATAATCAAGTAGAGTATCAATTTGACACAGTCGCATAGCAATTTTATTCATACTATGTTCAGAAGCAAAAAATAATTGCTGAAAACTATGAGCAAGTATAAAAAATAATCGTAAAATTAATGAAAAAAAAGGTAAAATTATCTAACCATAAGCAAAACTGCATGGCAAAAGCTAGAATTTGATCTGACCGTTTATTAGACCATGAAACAGAGAAAAAATGTGTTTTCAATAAAACTGCTTTAAACCGTCAAATATACATAGGAAGTCCGTAAAAAAACGGGTATTTTTTATTGTAGATTTCAGTACGCTTCCTGCTTTACCTGTACTAGTCAGACAGTTGTTTTTTAAGGCTTTGTCGTCACATTAAATAATGCTTTTTTGTGAATAATATGCTATTTTCATGACCGTTGCGTGTTAGAAACAGTTATTCATGATTATTAGGTCAAGTTTAGTTTATCTTTAGTTCTATCTCACTGGTGCTTCTTTGTTCCCTATGCACATTTTTAAAATAACACAAAATGTCATTATGAAGAAAAGCCACAGATTTGAGAAGTTGTAAAACGTTAGGGATCTAATATTTTTATATTTTAATAGTTGCCCCAATGTTGCATTACTTGCGCTAAAAAAAATTGAGAAAATAAAGAATTTTTCACTGATATTAATAATTTTCATCTAGGTTGAAAAATCTCGCCAAATGAGTAATTTTTAAAAATATTTAATAACTTTTAAAATATTTAAGTTATTCTTCCGTTACAAGGCCCAGAGCTTCGTAAAACACTGTTCAGTAAATTTCAGTGCCTTATGTATAAATATATATATATATATATTAAAAGTATTATATCTTCTTTTCAGAAGAAAACAAATACTATTTAAAAATAACTTGTTACGATAGATTATGACATCTGCGCTCGTAAAAATGTACGAAAATTAAGAATTATTCATTAATTTTGATAATTTCCATCTAAGAGGAAAAATCTCGTCAAATTGTCGATTCTTCAAAATGTTTAACTTGTTGAATACTTAAGTATTTCGTCCGTTCTAAAGCCCAGATTTTCGAAAAACACTGTTAAGCAAATTTCAGTGCCCTTTATATATATAAAAAAGTAATATATCTTCTTTTCAGAAGAAAACAAATAGTATTTAAAAATAACTTGTTACAATAGGTCACGTCATCTGTGCTCATAAAAATCTGTGCTGATAAAATCTAAATCTCAATCTGTGCTCACAAAATCTTACAATATGCTGATAATATCTGTGCTCATGAAATTTGAGGAAATTAAGAACTATTCTTTATTTTTGATAATTTAAAAAATCTCGCCAATTTGGCATTTTTTAAAAATGTTTTAAAACTTTTCAAATATTGAAGTATTTCCTCCATTCTAAAAATCAGAGCTTCGAAAAAACGCTGTTAAGTAAATTTCAGTGAATTTTATAAAAAAAAAATAATATAAATTTTTCAGGAGAAAACAAATAATATCTGAAAATAACTTGTTACAATAGGTCACGTCATCTGTGCTCATAAAAATCTGTGCTGATAAAATCTAAATCTCAATCTATGCTCATAAAACCTTAATATATGCTGATAATATCTGTGCTCATAAAATTTACAAAAATTAGGAATTATTCATTAATTTTGTTAATTTTCATCAAGGAGGAAAAAATCTCGCCAAATAGGCATTTTTTTCAAATGTTTAATAACTTTATAAAAATTTAAGTACTTCCTCTGTTCTTAAATCCAAAGCTTCGAAAAAACACTGTTAAGCAAATTTCAGTGCCTTCTATACATAAAAAAGTATTATATTATCTTTTCAGAAGAAAACAAATAGTATTTAAAAATAACTTGTTACAATAGGTCACGACATCGCCTCCTCCTCCCCTTCCCCTCGACACACAGAAAATCTTTCTCGATTAATCGTCGGATAACAGTTTATTTGACATCTCGAAAAATCGAACAAAATTTGGAACAAATAGTTTCTACAGGTCAATGTTGCTACGTACACTTTCGTAATTCTAATTTTTATGGTAGTTTAAAGAAGTTTTTCCGTGGAGGAAAAGTTATTGTTATTTTTTTTTAAATTCGTGTTTATCAGAAGGAAAAGTATTAAAGGAAAAAAAAATTAAGTGTCCTTGGAATAAAAAAATGTTTCAGAGGTAGCATTCAAATTCATGGGTCTTGGCGACGAATTAAGTTTTTCGTCACATATTGTGACGAGTTTTAGTACATCTTTAAGACGAGGTGACTATTATTAATTATTTATTTTGAAAGTATTTATATACTGTGAAAATTATTGTGAATTCATAATTTAAATAGTCATAAAATTCACAAGTTTATTAACTTTTTAATGCTCTTTCTAATGTAAAGTGTGCTGACTTTAAATATATCTTATATCTTTTGGAGAAGAATAATATTTGATTTTTTTTTTGAAATTGTTAAGAATCATTGTATATTTTTGCGAATTTTTAAAATTTGTAAAATTTGTAATTGGAGATAATATTTTTTTATTAGGCGATGAAAATTTCTAATTTGTTCCATACAGTTTTTTAGATGAGATGAATATTATTAATTATTATGTATTTAATTTTCATTGCTTTTTTTAATTATTAAAATGAAGTGACCATTTTTGTGAAAATTTGAAATGTTAGTAAGGTTCGTAAGGTTCGTTTACACGGTTCGTTTACACGAGTTAAGGGGTTTAAGGTTCGTTTACACGGGGCTTATTATTATTATATTACTAAATATTATAAAATTTAATTCTTATGAAGAATCGCAAGTTTATTAATTGAAAGTTTTTCTTTTTATTGTTCATGGTGGCGAAATTAAATATCTCTTTTAGACTAGAATAATATTTTTTTTTTTTTTTCTCAAATTATTAAAATGCATTGCATAATTTTGTGAATTTTTGAAATTTGTAATTTCTTTTTCGAGAAATTTTTTTTAAAATTAAGTGAGGAGAATTTTAAATTCGTTTTATTCATCTTATGAGATGAATATTATTAATTATTAATATTTATTTATTATTATTCATTTATTATTATTCTGTTTTATTTTCTCCAAATTATTAAACGGAAGAGCCATTTTTGTGAATATTTGAAATATTTGAAAAATTCGTAAGTTTGTTAACAGAGGGATTATTATTATTATATTACTATTATTATAAAAACTTAACAAGTCTTTAAGAAAAGGTGATTATTAAAAATTATGATAATTACTATGAATTTCGGATGTGAGATTTTATTTTTTAATTGCACCTACATTAAAGTTTTAAGTGTCTTGCTTCTAGATTTTTATTTTTATAACTTATTATAAATTATTTCGTGTATTGTTATAATTATTTATATTTTAGATCTGATTTACATTCTTGCGTATGCTTGTTTGTTTATAGTTGCTGCAAATTACAATTCTAAAGAAATTTGAAAACTTTCAAATGTTAAGTTTGTATTACATTTTCAAAATGATTTATTTTTTATTATTTATCATAAAATAAAATAAAACATTGGTAAAGAAATATTGTTGCATACATTGTGACCTTATTATTTTCTAATTATTTCCCTTTTTCAACTTATAATGTTTGAAAAGCATAAAGTTAAAAATTTCAGTTTTAAAAAGAGTTCCTGTATTTGATTACCTTTCTATTTTCCTACTACACAAGATTTTAATTCATACTAGAAATATTTTTTAAAATTAAAAGCTACTAAAAATGCTATTGTAATTTATTCGAGGGTCTTATAACTTTATTTCTTTTTCCACTTATTTTATTCTAATGATTTATATGTTTCATTAAATGAAAATACTTAAAAATTAAAAACTACTGCTGATCGCTGATAATTGTTATAAAGCGTGCTTATTAAAAAGGATATAAAACGAAAGTATTAAGCTTGTGTTAACTTCCACTAATTTTTCGTGGTCCCAATTGCAGCCATTATAGTGAGGAGGAATTATCACCCACAAAAGTCCCCAATTTTAAAAAGGGCCCAATTCCCCAAAAAGCTAAAATGGCCATTTTAAAGGGATTAAGCTTTTTTTTTTGCCTATGAATTTAGTTTCTGAAATCAGGCAAATGTTTCATTTGTTGTAAATTTATTTTATTTTATAACCGTCGTTGAACAGCCAACCCAATTATGACTATACGACTACCAATATTCTACACCTTAGCCGTATAATTTTGAACCCAACCCAGAAGACAAGAGAGCTCCTGCATCAAGTATAGGGAGAAATTTGCCTTCGTGGTGGATTTTTTGACGGAACTAGCCCGCATTCACATTACATTGAAAAACTCCCATGGTTAACCTGACGGCAAGGGGACTCTAACCTATGATCCGCTTACCACTGAGGATATTTTACGTCAGTACTGCGGTCGGTATGTGCTCGGTGTAGAATTCGTATCGACCAGCAGCCGCTGGGATTCGAATCTGGGTCACCTCATTGGTAGGCAAGAGCTCTGTCCCCTGATCCACCACGGCATCATCCATTATAATTGAAAAAATCTTCATTAATATTTTTGCATTTTTTTTCTTTTTTGAGATTATATTTTTGATATAATGGCTGATTATATTTTTGATTGCAGCCTCCACAATTGGGCAGTTTTTTGGCTAGTCATTTGACAAATTTTGGAAATTTGATGCCAAATATGTGGTATTTTCAAGGTGTAACCTCACATATTCAAATGCAAGCAATTTTTAAACATAATAAACATTATTTTGATGCAAAGAAAGCAGAAACAGCAAAAAGCAAAACAAAAACAAATAAATAAAAATAAAATAATGTATAAATAAAACAAATGAATGAAAAATAAATAGGTAAATAAAATAAAGAATAAAAATAAATAAATAAATAAATGAAAAATAAATCAATGAATATAATAAAAAATAAAAATAAATAAATAAATGAAAATAGATAAATACATAAATTAAATTAAAAATGTAAAATCTATCATGAATAATATAATAAATAAATAATATAATAAATAAATGAATGAATAATATAATAAGTAAATAAAGGTATAATATAACAAATAAAAAAGGAATAACATAATAAATAATGTTTTTCATGCAAATATTAATGCTTAAAAGTATTGAAAAGTAATGAGCTCTTATAAAATTCTAAGCATTTTTACTGAATATATTTCATAATATATTATTGAATTACATTTCATTTGTATTTGTAAAGTTTCCATCAACGTTGCCAACTCCATCTGATAGAAGTATAATTTCCTCATTTTCATGCGATAACGTTAGCAACAAATTATGATAAACACATGATTTTAGGAATCGATTTCTTTTCTTTTGATTTACACATATTGAGTGCTAAGAAACTTCTGCTTCTGGGAGGGATGTGTTAATAATAAAACAACTTATAGGGCAATATGATAAATGAAAATGATATTTATTGATGTTTCGTTTGTTTCTGGATCAGCGAAAGTTTTTCTGTAATTGAATTGATCTATAAATATGATATCCTTCCTAAGTGCGATGCATTATTTATGATTAAGTCAAGAATGCTCTATGTTCAATATTAGTAAAAAAAAAAAAATAGAGGGAGAGATAGATATATTACAAGAGAACTAACCCAAAAAATAAAAGGAGAAATGAAAAAAAAAAGCTAAATCTCAATCTGTGCTC